CATATATACATATATATGTTCACACTATAGTATAACAATCATGTAAGCACAGCAAACATTTAACATCCCAATTTCCATCCCAATCCCCATCAACAAACAAAATGAAACTGGAAAATTACCTACTTAATTAATTAATTATTTATGCCAAGTCATTCATTCAAGATAAGCATTCAAAAACATGCAAATCTCAATATTTGAAACAAAGATTTATTTCCGAGTTATTAAATATAGATAAATTATTATAGACAAATGTGTGTGTGCGTGTTTTAAAGGTTAAAAGACTATTACAAATGAGACTGAAACATGAGCTTAGAAATCATTTCTTTAATTGAATGATCTACTGATGAATGTCAAGAGCATTTAATTTAATATGTGACCTTATTATTTAGTAAGCAGTGTCATTTAACATGCAGAAGGACTTTAGTTAACCGCGATAAACTCACAGTAAGCGAGTCTCTGTAAAATGGAGACTCACTTCTCAACACTCTCCGCTCTGCTGATTACATCTGTTGTGTTTTTAAGGACTCCTGTTTGATTTAATTAAAAAATAGTGTGCTAATTAGTCTGTTAATGGCTTTCACACTCTTGTCCCTATGACTAATTCTCTAGATGACAGTAATTAGGCCCTTTTTAATGTTTCCTGTGGATTCCTGCTTTCAAGTGCTGCTTTGTTGTCCTGCGATTTGTCTTTTCTCGAATAGGAAATATAGTTTATAGTGGGATTTATGCAGTGCTTATTGTTAATATTGTGATTATTGTTATTACAGTGCAATATTGCTTAAAGAAAGAAAATGTTATTTGTGTTTCTTAAAAAAAAAAAAACATGTTTTATTTATACCAAGGTTTCTGCATATATCGTAATGTCAAATTCAATTTTTAAAGACCTTTTTAAGACCAATTAGTATTAAATTTATGACCTATATCACAATATCAAAAACACATACACATAAAGAGAAAATGCAAAATCACTAAATTAGTGGTAAAATAAATGTATTCAAATTAAACAGTACTAAAGACAGGTTAAATGCACTACAGAAAAAAACAAACAAACATCTTAAGGCTGATTTATACTTTCGCCTGGTGCCGCATCGCGTACCTCACGAAACAGACGAGGCTTTTACTTGACGAGTTAGCCGTTGTGATATTCCATAAAACGACAGGGCGGCCAAAAGAAACAGACAGTAAAATCAGTTGATCTGTTTTCATCTTCCATCATCGTTTCACATTAGACATCGTACATCACCCAACCCTATACAACACCACGAAAACTAAACAACAACACCAAAAAACTAATTTAAATGAGCATTAGATGTAGCGATACATGGACATCGAAAAATAAGTCCTGTGCAAAAATATTTAAGACTTAGAACAACAAATTTAAGACTTTTTAGGGACTAAAACTTTTTTTAACGATTTTCAAATTTGAGACTTTTTAAGACCCTGCGAAAACCCTGTATACATTATATTATGTTCATGTTATAATAATAATAATAATAATAACAATAATATATATATATATATATATATATATATCACAAGCCAGGTATGTGACTAAAAGTTTCACGAAAGAATTTTTTTTTTCTTAGAAAAAAATAAGTTTATAATATATATTTTTGTTTGCAGTTTATTTAAAATATATTTAACTATCACACAAAATAATTTGATACTAGTTAACCTAATAAACTCAGTTACCACA